GGGTGCAATAGGAGAGCAGATCACCAGTAGATCTCGCCTGGCGAAAGCCATACTGGTGATCCGACAAAAGAGAAAGGCGTTCAAGGTGACGGAGAAAATGGGAGTTCAAGATAGTTTCGAAAATCTTAGAAAGGGGTGAAGTTTGGGCAATGGGGCGATAGTTAGAGGGAAGTAGTAGGGGAATCACTGTCGGGAAATAGTAAGGGAATCACTGGAGGGAAGTAGTAAGGGAATCACTGGAGGGAAGTAGTAAGGGAATCACTGGAGGGAAGTAGTAAGGGAATCACTGGAGGGAAGTAGTTAGGGAGTCACTGTTAATGATGAAACTGGATTTTTTATCCCTTTCAAGGAAATATTTATGCCAAAAAAAGAAGCTTCTAACTTCATTTTAAGCGGTTGAATTCCGTTTGTTTCTTTTTTATAGTGTAAATAACACGCTACATTTTCGTTGTAGAACTGAAGTACTAACTAATAAAAATTTTTGATTAGTTACAAAAAAATTAGATTTTGGTTATAAAATTGTTACTTTCAGGCAAATTTGCCACCGTTGCTGCTTCAAAGCAAAATTCTAATCTTAAATTATATAAGTAAATTATGATAAAAAATACAACAATTACTCAGAACAAAAACCTTTTTATATAAATCCTTACTCTTCTACTTTGAGAAACTTGAAGGTATCCTGATTGATGTATGACATTAGAATACAAACCTTGACCCCCAAAATGTTCGGATCATCCATAATCACCAACCTTCATACATGCGCCCGCAGTTTTTAACCTAACGTGACTCAAATTAAATGTAGATAAAAAAGGTATAAACCACATAGACCCTATAAATACAACTTTGCTATAACTTTTTAATCTACGTAACCTATAGTTTACACTTATAATATTTAAAAGATAACCAATTAAAGCCCCTAACACTCTTAATGCTAAAGCCAACACTTTAAACGTGAAAGTTAAACAAATTATATATGATTCAGGGAAGATCACTCAAGACAAAAAGGCTCCGCCCGTAACACCACCAATCCTCAATCTTATCATTGAGCTAGTCATAACAACACTTTTATCGTTAACTTGACTCATCCTCCTTAAATTAAATAGACCCGTCAAACTATAATAAACTAAACGAAATCTATAACAAACAGTTAATCCTGTGGCCAAAGCATATAAAACGAAAGCTAATAAATTAATATTTCTTATAAAAGCCACTTCTAAAATTAAATCTTTAGAATAAAATCCTGCCAAAAATGGTATTCCACATAAAGCTAAATTAGCCAAATTTATACAGGTTCTAGTTAAGGGTATTCTAAAAACTAGTCTTCCTATACAACGGATATCCTGGTATTCTTTTACAGCGTGAATAACTACTCCAGCACATATAAATAAGAGTGCCTTGAACAAAGCATGAGCTAACAAATGGAAAAAAGCTAAATCAGCAAAACCAAGAGCTAAAATCCTTAATATCACACCAAGTTGGCTTAATGTTGATAAAGCAATAATCTTTTTTAAATCATACTCGAAATTAGCCCCTAATCCTGCTATAAATATTGTCAGACAAGAAATAATTAATAAAACAGATTGAGCTTCTGATCCTATTAAAGCTGGACTAAAACGAATTAATAAGTAAACACCTGCCGTAACTAGAGTAGAAGAATGAACTAGTGCAGACACTGGAGTAGGAGCTGCCATGGCAGCTGGGAGCCAAGCAGAAAAGGGGATTTGTGCCCTTTTTGTTATAGCTGCTATGACAACTAAACATTTTATTAATAACAAATTAGAATCCCTTATATATCTTCTGTATAAAATAAAATTTCAACCCCCTGCTATAAATATTAAAGAAATTCTAAGAAGAATAGCGACGTCACCAACCCGATTAGACAAAACTGTTAGTATTCCTGCATTTGCAGATTTTTCATTTTGGTAAAAAATAACTAATGCGTATGATACTAAACCTAGCCCGTCCCAACCTAACAAGATTCTAATTATATTTGGCCTTACAATTAAAGCACCTATAGATAATACAAAAGCAAGAACTAAGTATATGAAGCGATTAAATCTTTTATCTCCTTCTATATAATCACCTCTGTAAAATAACACTATTGAAGAGATAAAAAGTACAAATCCTAAAAATATAAAAGAAATTCAATCAAAAATTAAAGTCATTACGACTGAAGAAGAATTTAAAGTTATAATTTCCCATTCAATTATTGTCACACTGTTATAATATAAACTTATAAGAGACAACAAAATACAACTAAAAGCTCTTCTACATAAAAATACCAACCTAGTTAAATGTATAGTAATATATCAAATCACGGTTTAAAATAAATAACTTATACAGTGGCCCCTCGGTTAACGAACTCAATCCGTTCCAGAAGGTCGTTCGTTAACCGAAACCATTGTTTCAATGGGTTTTTGGGTAATTGGTTCCAGCTCACCGAAAATTTCCTAACTTCAACAAAAATGGCGGAAAAATTTACTTACTTTGAGGTGTGTATGTAGAAGGCTCCTGGATGATGGTGATGATGTGCATTTGAAGTGGGAGGTGCAGGAGGAGAAGGGAGAAGAGAAGGAAGTGGAGGTGGAGGAGAAGCATTTTACTGCTTCTTGGAAGGTGAGTCACCTTCCATGAAAATGTCAGGAACCTCTGGACTGACAGATTCTCCACCATGAACATCCTCTCTCCTTCTTGAAGTGGAAGGCTGAGGGCTAGCATCTTGTTCCCTCTGCCTTTTACTGAAGAAAGTGTCAATTGTGGTCTGTGGGGCATCTGTCCTCCTCACCATTAACTTATGTTTAAAGAAGGAGACCACTGAGTCCTCAACATGACACAAAGTTAGTTCAGTTTTTTCCACTTCTGGGTGCTTTGAAGCCAGTTCCCTGAACTTCTCCCAGTGGTAAATCACATCTTTCAACTGTTTAGCTGACATATGGTCATCACTTTCAATTTCCTCCTCACCACTGTCAGCCTCTACCCGTAACATCTCATCCAGTTCCTTCAAGTCATTAGGAGTAAGTTCCTCCTCATGAGACATCACAAGCTCTTCCACATCCTTCTCCTCCACTTCAAGACCCAATGACTGACCAATGGACACAATCTCCTGGTCCAACTCTGTGTCATCCTCAAATCCCTCAAAATCATGGACTACTGATGGCCACAGTGCTTTCCATGAAGAATTGAGGGTTCTATTGGAGACTTCTTGCCATGATGACACAATCAATTTTACAGCCTCCAGGACGTTGAATTGTGTCTTCCAGAACTGTTTCAGTGTTAGTTCAGGATCAATGGAAGTTGCCTGATGACACCTCCTAAACATTTTCTTCATGTACAACTTCTTGAAGTTGCTGATCACATTCTGGTCCATTGGCTGTATGAGTGATGTAGTGTTTGGAGGCAAAAACAACACTTTCACAAAGTCAAATTGATACTCCAAATTTCTGGCAAGGTCAGGGTCATGACCAGGAGCATTATCCATGAGGAGAAGAGCCTTTAAAGGAAGTTTATTGGTGGTTAGGTAGCTCTTGACAGAGGGGCAAAACACATCAACAGCCCATTCATTAAAGAACTGTCTTGTCACCCATGCCTTACGGTTGGACTTCCAATAAACTCCAAGCATTGTTCTTACCACTTTCTGTTGCTTGAACACCCTGGGGTTTTCAGAGTGGTAGACAAGCATAGGCTTCAGTCGGAAATCCCCTGAAGCATTGGCACCAAGCAATAGAGTGAGACGGTCTTTCATGGGTTTATGCCCAGGTAAAGAGGCTTCATCCTTGGTGATGAATGTTCTTTTGGGCATCTTTTTCCAGAACAGCCCAGTTTCGTCAACATTGAACACTTGCTGTGGAAGATAATTTTCTTCTTCCATCAGTTTTTTAAATTCAATTAAAAACTTTGCTGCCCCTTCTTTATCAGCACTAGCAGCTTCACCATGCCTAACAACACTTAAAATGTCACTTCTTTTCTTAAATTTTTCGAACCAGCCTTTGCTAGCCCGAAAATCTTCAAATTCTGTTCCTGAAGAACCAGGTTGATCTGTCTTTAAATGTTCATAAATCTCCCTGGCTCTTTCACAAATGAAATCACCAGAAACTGAATCACCTTTCATCTGTTTTTCCCTAATCCAGATGATAAGTAACCTCTCAGTTTCTACGATTAGGGATCTACTTTTAAACACTCTTGTAGATTTGTCTCTCACGTTCACTTCCTTAAATTTGTCTTTTTGTGCAAGAATTGTCGACACAGTTGATGCCGACATGCCATATTCTTTGCATAGCGCATTTGATTTAATACCTTGTTCGTGTTTTTTTATTATTTCCTGCTTTATTTGGATTGAAATCACTTTTCTTGATCTCTTAGGCCCCATGCTGGATTCAAACAATGGCAACACGTATTTTTCAAAGTTAAACTAGCTGTAAATAAAGAATATTTTCTTTAAAGTAACACTGCACTGCACTATATATTGTCAATATGTAAAATAATTTTCAAAATGACCAATAATTTGCTTGGAAACACAGAAAAAAAGCGTTTAGTTGAAGAGAGTCTCAAGCAAGATGTTACCTCCAGTGAAAACAGAGAGAGACTGACGCCTGTTTGCTGTGTTAAGAGGCTGGATGCCGCGCATTAAACTAGTCACTTTACCATCAATTTTGTTCAATAATTGTTAAAATGACTAAAAAATTGAATATTAAACTTTTAAAATTATTGAATAGTATAAACTTCTTGATATTTACAAAAATAGTAAGGAATTTAAGCCCTAGAACCGATTAATGTATTGGCGGACTGATACTAAAGCTGGTTGCCCGGTCAGTGCAAGCGAAAACATGTTGAGGTCGGTTCGTAAGAAGTTCGTTAAGCGAAATTTTTTTCGTTAACCGAATTGAAGATCCTTATGGAAGGCAGTTCGTTAATCGAAATTACGTTAACCGAGGTGTTCGTTAAACGAGGGGTCACTGTAATTTCGGCACCACAAACCAACGTTTTTATTAAACTATTTAAACTAAAATCTTGGTAAAATTATAGCCGTTTTTACAATAAGAACATTTAAAGGCAATCAATGTAATATTAAAACTAAGTATTCAGAAACTTTTCCCGAACAACAAGAAAACAATGAATTAAAAAACAACCCATGCTGTCTTATCGAATATATGTATAAAGTGTACGCAGCTCTAAAAAAAGACAGTAAACCAATCCCAAACATGCTAAGTTTTCTTCACCTTACTACACTTAAAATTAGTCTAATTTCTCCTAATAAATTAATTGTAGGAGGAGCTGCTATATTACCAATTCTTAATAAAAATCACCACAATCCCAAACTAGGTATAAAATTCAATAAACCTTTATTCACCAATAATCTTCGACTTCCTAAACGCTCGTAAACTATGTTAGCAAGACAAAAAAGTCCAGACGAACATAAACCATGTCCCACCATAATTACTACAGCTCCAATTTGACCCCATCAACCAAAAACCACTAGTCCTCTCAATACCAAGTCTATATGGGCTACTGAAGAGTAAGCAATCAATGACTTAATGTCTACTTGACGTAAACACATAAATCTTACAATTACTCCACCTAAAATTCTAACACTAACTCAAAATCAAGAAAATATTTTATTTACTTCAGGAAATAAAAAGAGAACTCGAATCAAACCATAACCACCTAATTTTAATAAAACACCAGCCAAAATTATAGATCCAGCTACAGGAGCTTCAACATGAGCCTTAGGAAGTCATAAATGAACTAGATATATAGGAAGTTTTACTACAAAAGCAAAAATTGTACAAAAATACCACATAAAAGTAATAAAATTAGATCTTTCAGCGCATGGTACTAAACCTATCGTTAGACTACCACCCAATCTATAAAATCTTAATAGAGAAACAAGCAAAGGCAAAGAAGCAAACAATGTATAAAATAACATATAAACTCCAGCTTGAATTCGCTCAGGTTGGTAACCCCAGCCTAAAATTAAAATTAAAGTAGGAATTAAAGATCTTTCAAATCTAATATAAAACAAAAGATAATCTGTTGCTGAAAACGTTAAAAGCAATGCTAACAGCAATAGTAAATTTACAACTAAAAACCCTCTAGTAGAGTTATTTGTTTTTTTAATTCTTTGACTTGCACAAATAACTAAAGCCATAATCCATATTCTTAATATAATTAAAATAAAACCTAAATGATCAGAACCTAGTCTTAATCCCAACCCCGAAACAGAAAAGTCATGTCCCATAAAACACCTGAAAATAAAACACATTAAAAATAAAGAAATTTGAATAAACCACCACTCTTTAACAAACGCAATCAATAGAATATTTATAAAAATGAACTTTAACATTGTAGTGTTCTAAAACTTCTGAAGCAATCGTTACCATGAGTCCGCACAATAGAAATCAATAAAGAAAGACCCAAAGCACCCTCACAAGCTGCTATAGTTAAAAAAAATAAAGTAAAATAAGCTTCGATTCCTACTTTAGCTAAACAAATTACTATGACTCAAAAAATGCCTAATATAATAAATTCTAAACTTAGAAGGACTCTTAAGTAAATGTTTTCGGTTAGAAACAAAATTTCATAACCCACAGAAAACAACGACAAGAGGAACAAAAATAAATATTAATCTAAGAATTGACATTAGTTTTAATAGTTTAAACCAAAACTTTGGTCTTGTAAACCAAAAATGAAATTTATTTTCTTAAAACTTCAGAGAAAAAAGTAAACTTTTATCTTTAATTCCCAAAACTAATATTTTATTAAACTACTCTCTGAAATCTTATTTTTTATTCTTCCTCTTATTTTTGTAACTTCATTACTTTTCACACGTCTTATTCATCCTCTATCTATAGGTCTCACATTATTGATACAAACTGTTATGATTTCGCTTGCTGCAGGGTTGAACAACAATTCTTTTTGATTTTCATACATTCTTTTTCTTATTTTTTGGGGGGCTATATTAGTGTTATTTATTTATGTTGCCTCACTTGCTTCTAACGAGCCATTCAAATTCTCAGCTACAGCTTTAATAGTTATTTCAAGATTTTCTTTATTTTTGACAATTTTTATAATACTAAAAGACCCTCTTTATATTACTCCTGATATTTCTATTATTAGATCAGCGATTTCTTCAGATATGTTTTCACTTGATACCACTTCTACTCTAGTAAGAACTATTTATAGACCACCAACAATATCTTACTTTATTTATAGTCCTTTATCTCCTATTGACTCTTATCGTTATTGTAAAAATTTTTAATCTTTATTCAAGACCACTTCGACTATCCTATTAATGACGACACCTATTCGCAAAAGCCATCCCCTTTTTAAAATTGCTAACGGAGCTTTAGTAGATATACCTATTCCAAAAAATATTTCAACATTCTGAAATTTTGGATCTTTACTAGGCTTGTGCTTAGTTGTCCAAATTGTTACTGGTCTTTTTCTTGCTATACACTATACTGCTCATATTGATTTAGCTTTCTCTAGTGTTGCCCATATTTGTCGAGATGTAAATTACGGGTGACTTCTTCGTACACTCCATGCTAATGGAGCTTCTTTTTTCTTTATTTGCCTTTACTTACATATTGGACGTGGTATGTATTATGGATCCTACTTATTTTTTCATGCTTGAATAGTGGGTGTTGTTATTTTATTCATAGTTATAGCAACAGCTTTTCTAGGTTATGTTTTACCTTGGGGTCAAATATCTTTCTGAGGTGCAACAGTTATTACTAACCTTTTTTCTGCTATCCCTTATATTGGGACTGAACTTGTACAATGAATTTGAGGTGGATTTGCAGTTGATAATGCAACGCTAACTCGATTTTTTACAATTCATTTTTTATTACCATTTTTAGTAGCAGCTGCGACTCTTATCCATATCTTATTTATTCATCAAACTGGAGCTAACAACCCACTTGGAATTGCAAGACATATTGATAAAGTTCCATTTCATCCTTATTTCACTTTTAAAGATGTTGTTGGATTTATAGTTATACTAACCGCATTAATTTTATTAACTCTTCTAAATCCCTACCTTCTTGGAGACCCTGACAACTTTGTTCCAGCTAACCCACTAGTTACACCAGCACACATTCAACCTGAATGATACTTCTTATTTGCATACGCTATCTTGCGGTCAATTCCAAACAAATTAGGAGGAGTAATCGCCCTGGCTATATCAATCGCAATTTTAATAATTTTACCTTTTACCCATACTTCTAAATTTCGAAGATTAACTTTTTATCCTTTAAATCAAATTTTGTTTTGATCTTTAATTGCAATTGTTATTCTTCTAACCTGAATTGGAGCTCGACCTGTTGAGGATCCTTTTGTTATTACAGGGCAAATTCTAACAGTAGTATATTTCCTTTACTACATTGTCAATCCTCTTTCACTTTTATTGTGAGATAAACTGCTTGATTGATAGTTTAGTTTATTTAAAACAGATGTTTTGAAAACATCAATAAGGACACTAAAACGTCTTAACTATCGTAACATTTTCAATATACTAAATTAGTTATAAACTAAATTATAGAACAATAACATAGTATTTTTATCCCCATGAAAAAAATTAAATAATTAAGAGAAACTGGTAAAAATCTTTTTCAAGCTAACCCTATTAACTTATCGTAACGAAGACGAGGGAGAGTTCCTCGAACTCAAATAAACGCAAATCTTACTCCTACCAACTTTGCATAAAAAAAAGGACTAGAAGGACCCCCACCTAAAAATAATAATGCGAACAGCGCTCTTATAAACAAAATTCTAGCATACTCAGCTACGAAAATTAAAGCAAAACCACCTCTTCTATACTCAGTGTTAAACCCAGACACTAATTCTGATTCGCCTTCCGCAAAATCGAAAGGAGTTCGGTTTGTCTCGGCTAAACAAGAAGCAAACCAAATTAAAGCTAACGGCAATGTGACCCACAAAAATCACACACTTTCTTGATATAAATTAAAAAGTTCTAAACTAAAACCTCCGACTAAAAAAATAAAAGAAAGCAAAATTAAAGCAAGACTAACTTCATAAGAAATAGTTTGAGCAACAGCCCGGAGCCTACCTAACAAAGAATATTTACAATTAGAAGCCCAACCAGCTCTTATAGTTGAATAGACACCTAATCTTAAACAACACAGGAAAAAAAGTACTCCTATATTTAAATTTATTATTCCAATTTCATAAGGAATTACTAACCATACAATTAATGCAGTAAACAAACTAAAAACAGGTGAAGCATAATATGGAAGAAAATTAGATTTTACAGGTACCGTTTGCTCTTTAGTAAATAACTTCACAGCATCCGCAAAGGGTTGTAGCAGTCCAATAAAACCAACTTTATTTGGTCCTTTACGAATTTGAATATACCCTAAAATTTTACGTTCTAACAAAGTAACAAATGCGTAAATTGATGTCGGACTTTTCATACTAGACACGATTGTATTTTTGAAAACTCAATTTCCACCGAGTTGGAGGTACAGCCAGGGTCACAGGCCTATAACCACACAATCACTGCCACATGACAAAGCTTTTATTTTATTTTATTTTTTAGGGTGTTGTGGTCACGGCTGTGATAAAGGCCAACCAGGGAGTGTAGTACTGTGCCTTCAGTTAAATCAGTTCATAGTTGTCATCAGTGAATGCAGAAGAGACTATAATAACTTAAAGTGAATACATATTGGCAATCGAGCTGGTAAGGACAACTGCCAGCCTATTCGTGTCATAGGTGCCACAGAGACTTTAAATTTTATTTTGTTTGTGTGCTTGCTCAAGGACTGAATCTGTGTTTATAATACACCACTCACAGGGAGATACAGTGTACACAGTGATAGTTCATAGTGTCATCAGTGACCTCTGAAGTTGTAAATAACTTAAAGTGAGCGCTCACTAGCAAGCAAGCTGGAAAGGCACCTTGCCAGCTGAAACTAAGTCGTGTCATAGGTGCCACAGAGACTTTAAATTTTATTTTGTTTGTGTGCTTGCTCAAGGACTGAAACTGTGCCTACAATACACCATTCACAGGGAGATACAGTGTACGCAGTCGCAGACGACAACTCCATAGGCAACAGAGAGTAGCTAAGTACTTTTTCTCTCTTTATTTTCTTTGAAATAGGTGTAGATTTATACACATTCTGCACCCCCCCCCACAACAACAACAACCATGAGTTTGATATGTGATTACTGCAGGGAGACGTCGGATATGGAGGATACAGGCCTAACTAATGCAACGTTTAGGAAGTTACTAACTGCCGTAAAGCTTGATGGCTGTTGCTGGTATTGCCCTGGCTGCATAGTCAAGGTGAATGAAGCGATTGCAATCCATAAGGGAACGAGTTCTCTAGGGA